ACTTATGTTTTATAGAAAAACTAACTGACCTAACAGAATGCCAACTAATATTCGGTGGAGACTTTAATTGTGTGCTCGACTCGCAGCTCGACAGGTCTAATCCAAGACCCAATAGTAAACTTTCAAAAGCTGGTAATGTTCTTAAAAACTTTATGGATTGTTATGCCCTATCAGACCCCTGGAGAAGCAACAACCCTACAACCAAGCTGTTTTCTTTTTTCTCACCTGTACATCGTTCATATTCAAGGATCGATTTTTTTATTTTGACAAGAGGATTTGCTCTAACGTGACAGACAGCCATTACAATGCAATAGTTATATCGGATCATAGTCCAGTGCAATTAGATATTGCCTTGCCGGAGTGCCCCAGACCTAGACGCACATGGCAGCTTGATCCTTCACTTTTGACTGCAGAGTCATTTAGAGAAAAGATTTCTAAGGAAATAGATAATTTTATTGAAATAAATCAGACTCCTGGAACTCAAATGAACCTTGTCTGGGAGGCACTGAAGGCCTATCTTAGGGGCCATATTATATCATACTCAGCATTCCAAAAAAAATTAAATAACCAAATAAAAGAGACTGATCAGCTTTATGCAGAGGCCCCGACGGCGGATCTATATAAAAATAAACTGGTATTAAATACTGAATATGAGAATCTGTCAGTGTCACAAACTGAGCGCATGTTTTTTAAAGACCTTATGCCGGGTTTAAAAAAACAAAATTGTGGATATCAAAATTGCATGACAATGTCGATCTGAAATAGATTCCGGCAAAAAAAATCCTATATTTTATAAAAAGAACGTGTTTTTCATTAATTTAAGTTGTCTATGCTCTAACCTGTGTGTGACGTCATAGCGGGTAACGCCCATGCATTGAAAACCATGGATCTATGCCACAGGAATGCCTTTTCTCTCTTCTCTCCACTGATGCCCAACACAATACTGCACTCTACAGGTGACAATTGCTCACTACACATAAATTGACGTTTTGAGAGTGAAAATGTGTCTGAGGTGGGATTTGAACCCCAGTATATAGATTGGCAGTGCATCGACACAACCACTGGACTATCTCAGTGCCAACGAAGTGTTACAATCTAGTAGTAATCTTATATTCACTGTACGTACCCACTCTGACGTCACCAAGGGCTGTGAAGTTTTTTCGTCTCTAAGGGCGTTGCTATGGGGTTATTTCGATTTGGGGGGATCAGACAAAAAAAAACAACAACAGATTTTGAAACCTTTAGTAGTTCTCTTCTAATATAAAATGGTATTAAAACTGTATTTCTAAATAAATCAAACCCGGCATAAGGTCTTTAAATCAAGACAAAAGGTTTATGAACATGGGGAAAGAGCAGGGAAACTTCTGGCACATCAAATTAAACAATCTGCAGCTGCCAACACTATATCAAAAATTCAGAAACCCACAGGAGAAAAAACAATGGATATCCACGCCGTTAACGATCAGTTTAAACATTTCTATTCTAATCTTTACTCTTCAGAATCTGTCGATAAAAAAAGGTGATGTTGTTCAGGCAATTAAATCGATGCAAAATAACAAGGCACTGGGACCTGACGAAATTTACAAACTTTTTATAGATAAATTGGCACCAATATTCAAGGCTACGTACCACGAAGCACTCGAATTGGGAAGATTACCAATTACAATGACTCAAGCTGTAATTTCGGTGCTGCACAAAAAGGACAAGGACCCCTTACAGTGCAGCTCATACAGGCCTGTGAGCCTTTTAAACTGTGATTATAAAATCCTCACAAAAATCCTAGCCAATAGAATTGACTCTACACTACCACAAATCATTGACACAGACCAAACCGGGTTTATTCCGGGAAGACAGTCGTACTACAACATGCGCCGTTTGATGAATATTTTATATACACCAGAATCTACCAAACAAAAAGAAATAATACTTTCCTTGGACGCAGAAAAGGCCTTCGACCGCGTCGAATGGCCATACCTCTTTTTGGTCCTAAAGAAATTTGACTTTGGTTCTACATTTCAAAAATGGATAGAGATATTGTACTGTTTTCCAGCTGCTGCGGTTCGGACAAACAATGTACTTTCAGATTTCTATAAATTAGGCCGGGGATGTAGGCAGGGTTGTAGTCTTTCACCTTATCTTTTCGATTTAGCAATTGAACTGTTAGCTATAGCCCTCAGAATGGACAATCAGATAGCTGGGATTTCCAGGGGTGGAATCACACATAAAGTATCACTTTATGCGGACGATTTAATGCTTTATATTTCAGAGCCAGACATGTCTGTTCCAAGACTGCTTGAGTTGTTAGATAATTTTGGACATATATCGGGGTATAAATTAAATTATTCAAAAAGTGTATTATTTCCGATAAATAATAGTATTGATGACAATTATTCTATATTTCCCTTCAAAGTAGAAAAGAAGACATTTAAATATTTAGGTATAAATGTAACGCACACAATAGATGAGTTACGTGCTCAGAATTTTGATATTTTGTTGGAACAAACATCACAGGATTTAAAAAAATGGGCAACATTACCAACCTCACTAGCAGGCAGAATAAACATTGTTAAAAGGGCTATTTTGCCTAAGTTTCTTTATGTCTTCCAAATTATCCCCATTTTCATACCTAAGTCAATATACAAAAATTTAGACAAAATAATTGCAGCATTTATCTGGAATAATTCAAATCCTAGAATGAAAAAGACCTATTTGGAAGTACCGAAAGAAGCAAGTGGACTTGGGCTTCCCAATTTTATTTTCTACTACTGGGCAGCTAATATTGCCAAAGTGTTACATTGGAAATATACATATGAAAATAATCAAGGGGAGGTCTGGGCTCAAATGGAATTGTCGTCTAATCTGTTACCTTTATTAACCGCCCAGCTATCCCAGGGTCAGAAACAACAACAGAATAATCCAGTTGTAAAATCATTTGTACGGATATGGCTTCAGTTTAGGAGACATATTTCCCTTCGGGAGGTTAGCCGATTTTTCCCTGTATCTTCCAACCCGTTCTTCTTACCCTCCATTTCAGACAAGGCATTCCAAAATTGGCACGATAGTGGTATCAAGTTTTTTCATGAACTTTTTACAGGCAACACATTTTGCGCTTTTGATGTTTTGACCAGGGATTACAATATTCCCACTTCACACTTGTTTAGGTATTTGCAAATACGCAGTTTTGCCAAGACCCTATATCCTTAATTTCCATATTTACCAGCTAAAAACCAGGTTGACAGCATCTTAGAGCTTGATCCTTTTGGTAAAAAACGGATATCTGCCCTATACAAACTGATGCAAAAAATTAGGGTTGATCCAGCATGCCTCAGATGTGGCCATAATCCTGCAACTGAGGGCCACATGATCTGGTCTTGTCCCTGCCTTGACAGGTATTGGTATTGACATATTCCGAGTACTGTCTCACATCAGTGGACAGGACTTGACGCCAGATTTTCGGATTGCGGTTTTTGGAATAATGACCAAAGTTAGCAGGATTAATCGATTTCAGGAAAGTGCTATGGCATTCGCAACTCTAGTCGCACGCAGACTTATCCTATTTAACTGGAAGTCGAATACGGCTCCGTCATTTACACAATGGTTGAAGGAGGTGCTTTCCTTGTTACCCTTAGAAAAAATCAGGTACCGGGTATTGTCATCACAAGACAAGTTTACCACCACATGGACCCCGTTTCTAGATTTTGTAAAAACATTTCCTTTTGATGTTTGAATTAAACAAATTATTTGAAACAATATGAAGACCAAATTAAATCCCGTCTTTTCCCCCTTTTTTTTTTTTTTTTTTTTTAGAAGAGCTGGGGTGGAGGGAGGGTTTTGTTTTTGTTTCATGAAAAGAAATGTTGTATGAATCCATTTGTTTATATTTCTATATTTTGCTAAACTTATTTTGAATATCTGTCTCTGTTTTTACCTATGCAAACTCTATAAATAAAGTTAAAAAATTAATTAATTTTACAGTGGATTATTCCCGGATCTTAAGTAACCCAGGTGCACTGTGGGGAAAACTCAAAGGAGAAGTATCTGATTGATGAGGACAGTATACTGATTCACTCCTACAGCTTCTGCCGTCTGTAGATTGAACACTCACAATATGAACATTTAGCTAAAACAATGTTACAATGTGAGATATTGCATTTGTTGAGAGTTGAGATGTGAGAGATCGCAGCAGACAGGGTGTGTATAGTCTGAGCTCCAAACTCATGTAAACATTTATCTACCCTGGATTTTTATAGAATCATTTCACTAAAGTGGCAGTCTTGGTCTTTTCCATTTCCATTTCAGCACAATCTATGTTTAAAATATATTTAGGAGGAAACAAAGTAGGACACGTAGATGTGTGTACACTATTAGGGCTGCTGGGTGAATCACATCTCAATGGAAATGACAAGTAACAATTACAACGTTTCAAATAAATATATAAATTAAAGCTGAGGTACTCAGGTTTGTTTATTTAATCAAATCTAATCTATTGTCCAATAGAAAGAGTTTGGCATAAGTACACTGTTGTTCAGGTCTAACATGTTGTATATATTGAGTGATCCCTGTGTGCTCTTACTACTGTCCTGTATGTGCGCTGCAACAACGAAATTTCCCCACTGTGGGACGAATAAAGGAACTCTTATCTTATCTTCTCTGGAAAGCACCTGCAGTGACAGACTGATCCACCCTTGCTGTATGAAGGAGAGGTTCTGCAGGTCTTTCCTCCCTGTTGCTGTCAGACTGTTCAACATGACTTGCTGAGCCTGTACATGTCATTCATCTGTAAATAGTCAATACTGCAAGCCACTGGGCAGTACGATGGCACTCTCGCTTCTCAGCAAGAAGGTCCTTGGTTCAAATACAGAAATTGCATGTTCTTTCTGCCTGTGTAGATTTCTTCTGGGGGGTCCGGTTAACAAAAAGACCACAACATGCGGTTGTCTTATCACAAAACATATCACCTGCTTACAAGCAAACATGTAAGAAGGTGGACCCATCCTCACCTCTTGTCTGAAGGCCTTCCTGAAGCCGCTCATGGGTGTGGGGGAGAAGGCACGGCCCGGGACACAGCTCACCACCACAGGCAGCCCCCCCGTACACGTCCCGTTGGCCTTCAGGAGCGGGGCTGAAGCTCTCCCCAGTTTACAGCTGGATAGGTGGGCCTCTGTCCCGGTACAGTTCACAGAGAAGTCCCAGTATGACGGCTTTCTCCTGCGCGCAAACATCCTGCACACAAGAGCGGCACCCTCAGGACACATACGTAAAAACTGATTATCTGTCATGTAGTGCAATATTCTTGGGTTTCAGATGACGTCGGAGCAGTGGCGGGAATGACATACGTGGGACAGGACCGGACAGGACCGGACCGGACATACCCTGATTTTGCAGTCTTCCGGTTATATACTGTACATGTAGATATAGTAGTAGAAAAAGCGCTAATATCTTAGCTAGCAGTCTTCAATTAAAATGCCATCTTTTTGTGCGAGAAAAGATAGAGAGAAAGACAAGAGTTTCTTCCGTGTTCCAACTGTGGTCTCATATAAAGGAGTACATTTGCAAGATGGCGGACGCATTTGTTTGGAGCCTTTTTTGAACTGCACACTTTTTGGATTTATTTTTTTAAACTAAGCTTTTATTACTGTTTTTATTCGTAACAACTGATGGATTAAGCGGATTTTAACAGGTTGTGCCACAACAGGATTACTGTCACTTTTAACTGGACTGTATATCAGCCTTTTAACAGTTACCGCGGTAACCAGCCTGCCCACATACGCCACCATGGACACCGCCGCTCCCCCCGAGAACTCATACAGACAAATCTACAAATCACAACTTGCTTCAATTCTTCCATCCAAACCAGTAAACGCAATGACCCCCGAGGAACTTCAACGCAGTGTTACACAACTATCCACAGAACTCATACATAAAGAGAAACTTCTGGAACATTTCATGGACATCTCATTCAAGCAGTCACAGCAAATATCCCTCTCCGTACTTAGACATTCACAGCTCGCTACCACACTCCACGACACTGCTCTTTGGGATCCCATCACCTGTCCTCACCCCTCATCATGCTCTACCCCGGTCCTCACCTCACGTTCCCCGGTTGCGGCTGTTCCTCCTGTCCCTCCCGGTGCTCGTCCCTCCTCTACGGTCCCGGAGCCTGCTGCCCATACCCAGAGCGGCGCGGAGCAGAGGCCTGGAGACCACAGAACGTCCACAGTGTCCTCACGTCGCAGGTTGGTGGAGGAGGCTGTGCGCAGACGCTCGGGGAGCTTCCCACGCTCTAAAACAGCGCGGGGCTCCCCGGGTGTCACGCAGGACCAACTGCGGGAAGCCCCGGGGGGATCTCTGTGCCCTAACGTGGCGCAGGATACCTCCGGGAGCGCTGTCCCTGCTGTGGGAGGGTCCGTGTGCTCTGACGCGGAGGGAATCCCCAGAGGCGCTGCACAGAGCAGGTCCTATGCTGAGGTGGCCGCGGGGGGGTCTCTGCGCTACATCACGGCGCAGAGTCCTCCCGTGGACGCTGCCTCGCCCGCGGGGGGGTGTCTGCGCTCCATTACGGCGCGGACTCTTCCCGTGGACGCTGCCTCACTCGCGGGGGGGTCTCTGCGCTGTTGCACGGCGAGGAGTTCCCCCGCAGATGCCACCTCGCCTCCTGGTGGATCCCCCCGCCCGGTGCGCGGCCCTCCCACATTCGCCCACACTACCACCACCACCAACCCGGCCACAGTGGAGTCAGTTCGGTCTCCGGATCCTCCACCCTGCTCCACAGCCGCTCGTGGCGGCTCCGCTCCGGGCACCCCCCAAGGCTCTCCTGTCCCCTGCTCTCCACCAGGTCCCACCCCAGTCACACCCTCCCCTCCGCGGCCTCTGTTTGCACCAACCACGCTCCTGGTGGGGGATTCTATTATCAGACACTGCAAGTTTTTTAATGCCATCACACACTGTTTTTCTGGAGCCACAGTCCCCACCATCCTCATTAAACTACCCTCACTTATTCAGACAGCACCCTCCACAATAACCCGGATCATAATTCATGTCGGCACAAATGACGCTTCACTCCGCCAATCCGAGACCACAAAACGCCATTTTAAGGATCTTTTTAACCTTTTATCAAACTCAGGGAAAACTGTTTTTATCTCCGGTCCTCTGCCCACTATGAACCGCGGCAGGGAGCGTTTTAGCAGGATTTTATCACTCAACACCTGGCTCAATCAAACATCACTCCATCACAACTTTGGTTTTATAGACAATTTTAATCTGTTCTGGAACCGCTACCCCTTCTTCACACCCGACGGACTTCACATCAACCCACTTGGCAACCGGTACCTAATCTCCAACATCACCCACGCAGTCCAATCCCATCCTACATACCTCTGACAACCCACCCCCACATCCCACATCCCTCCTGCCCGTCTGTGCCCCAGCATCAACCCCTGCTCTCTTCCCCAGCACAAAATTACAGTTTTGTCCAGACCCCGCCCCTACAGACCGTCCATACCCAGGAAACCGTCCTTCACCAACCTCATCACTGTTTCCCCCTGCCCTCTCTCATCCTCTGCTCCCCCCACTTCGAACTATGGACTCCCCATCAACAATAACAACCCATCTACCATCAGGTTTGCCCTTTTAAATGTACGCTCCCTTTTAAATAAGACTTTTACTGTTAATGTTTGATTTTAGAACACGAGCTGGATGGTATGTTTTTAACTGAGACCTGGCTGGGTCCGGATGCTCCGGCTGTTCTTACAGAGGCCTCCCCCCCCAATTTTAACTTTGCTTTTAAAACAAGAGAAGGAAAGAGAGGTGGCGGCACAGCCTCAATATGCAGTAACACCCTGGCCACCAAACCTATTGTTTTTAACCAATACTCAAGTTTTGAGTATCACTCTCTTGTTTTTAGCAACCCCAAAATTTTAACAGTAATTATTTATAGGCCACCTAAAAAGTGCAGCCTTTTTATTATTGAATTCTCAGCGTTTTTATCACAGTTACACAATTCTTACAATATGATAATTTTAACCGGTGATTTTAACATACACATTGACAATCCCTCTGACAATTTTACCCTAGATTTTTTAGATGTTCTTAATTACATGGATTTTACCCAACACGTCAGACAGCCAACACACAACAGGGGACGCACCCTCGACCTGGTCATTACCTATGGCCTGACTGCGGATGTGTCCTCTGTTGTCGACTTGGCTGTCTCGGACCACTACTGTGTGTTTTTTAACATCACTGGTTTTATACAGCGTGAGACCTCTGTGAGAACCGTGAGGAAGCGACATCTAACCCCTGAAGTGGCTGCAAATTTTATCGACATCCTAAACAACACTCCCCACTTGGTTTTACCTGCCCCCTGTGATTTTATAGCAAATGATTTTAACAGTAGACTTAGTTCTGCGTTGGATAAGGTGGCTCCTTTAAAAACAAAAATCATAAAAACAAAATCTGCACCCCCATGGAGAAATGAAGAAGTACGCAAATTGAAACAAGAGTGCAGGGTGGCAGAACGAAGATGGAGGAAAAATAAAACAACAATCAACTACGAAATATATAAAAACAATCAAAAAGCATACAATTACACAATTAGAAATCATAAGAACAAATACTTTGCAAATCTAATCAGCCAGAAGAAAAATAATCCAAAAATCCTTTTTTCAACCATCGACACCATTTTAAACCCTGATTTTAGCATGTCTCTTTTAACCCCCACAGACTCCCTCTGTGAGGATTTTGCAGTCCACTTCACGGGGAAGATAAATACAATCAGATGTAACATTTTATCCAACCGCACTACTGTTTTTAACACATCTGATTGTTTGTCTTCGCCAGAGGAAACACTGGACAGTTTTGTCCTGGTTGATGCTGAGATGCTTGATAAAGTTTTCTCCTCAGTGAGGCCCACCACATGTCTTTTAGATCCAGTCCCCACTCCATTTTTTAAGTCATTTTATGAATCTTTTAGAGAGGAGCTTTTAAACCTGATGAATTGCTCTCTTCAGACTGGGGTCTTTCCTGCAGCCTTCAAAGCGGCTGTGGTGAGACCCCTTCTGAAGAAGAGCAATTTAGATTTTAATGATTTTAACAACTACAGACCGGTATCCAACTTACCATTTTTAAGCAAAATTTTAGAAAAACTTGTTTTTACCCAGCTCAATGCCTTTTTAGATCAGCAGCAAATTTTAGAGAAATTTCAATCAGGTTTTAGGGTGAACCACAGCACAGAGACTGCTCTTTTAAAGATTTTAAACGATCTTAGACTAAGTTATGATTTCAAAAAGGTGACTGTGTTGGTTCTACTGGATCTTAGCGCTGCCTTTGATACAGTAGACCACACAATTCTTTTATCACGCCTACAACACCTCGGCCTCTCTGGTGCTGTCCACAAATGGTTCACTTCTTATTTAACAGACAGATCCTTCATGGTAAGTTTGGATACCTGCTCCTCTCAGGTCCATAAAATCACATGTGGTGTGCCCCAGGGTTCCATTTTAGGTCCAGTCCTTTTTAACCTGTACATGCTCCCTCTTGGCGGTGTCGTCAGGAGACATGGAATTAACTTCCACAGTTATGCAGATGATACTCAGCTGTACATCTCCATGTCTCCTGATGACACCAGGCCAATGGATGCTCTTTTTAACTGCATTTTAGACCTGAAATCCTGGATGGCAGAAAACTTTCTCCAGCTTAACCAGGACAAAACTGAGGTTTTAGTCATCGGTCCTGAGGCCCAGAGAGAGAAACTTTTATCAAAACTCCAATCACACTCTTTTAATCCATCATCACAAGTGAAAAATCTGGGCGTAATCTTTGACTCTGAGCTGACTTTTATTCCTCACATCAAGAGTATCACAAAAATAGGTTTTTATCATCTAAAGAACATCGCCAGAGTCCGCCCCATTCTCTCTCGGGGCAACACGGAGACGCTGATGCATGCTTTTATCACCAGTCGCATTGACTATTGTAATGCCCTGCTCTCTGGTCTTCCCAAAAAGAACATTGCAAGTCTTCAATTACTCCAAAACTCGGCCGCACGTGTCCTGACTAAGACCAGGGGGCGGGACCACATTACACCGGTTTTAAAATTGCTGCATTGGCTCCCCGTGTGTTTCAGAATCGATTTTAAGGTTCTTTTAATGGTTTTTAAATGTCTTAATGGTCTTGGGCCTTCTTATCTTTCAGATTTGCTTTTATCCTATGAACCTTCCCGGCCCCTG